CGGCGGCGGCGGCGGGAGCCTCCGCCGCAGTCGGACCGGGCGCCGGAGTCGGGGCATGGGGACGCGGGGCATGGGGACGCGGAGAGCCGGGCTGGGTCGGGCCACGAGGTTCGGCCGGTTTCTCCTAGACGCCAGGGTTAGGCGAGGGCGTCCCGGTGGTTCTGAAGTCTTGCAGCCCCGCTAAAGAGAGCCGTGGTTGGGATAGGACATCATCCTCCCTTCCTCAGGCCACTGAACTCTGCAGCGCCTGGTCGCCTGCCCACTGGACTCTGCTGGCCGCGAAGCCCGCATTTAAGCACAGGTGCCCCCTCCACTAGGAAGGGACAGCTAGCATTCCGAGGCGACGGCGTGCCCCCTTCTGATGACAGCAGGAGTTCCCAGGAAGTCAGACCTACCCAACAGGTAGGGGTAGGTTGGCGAAGGGGTCACGGGAGAGAGGAGGCCCGAGGGACGTCAAGAGGTCCAGAGCGCATGGGCTGTGATGGGAGAGGGGACTAAGTCTTGATGGCGCTGAATGGGCGCGGGGACACTTGCAATCTCCTGTGATGGCGGGGGAGAGGAGAGGGTAGGGGGTAGACCTAAGGACTCTTGGGGAAATGTTGTCTTGCAAGCTATCGCCAAATTTACTTAAAAGGAACTGAAAAGGTACCTACCGGATCTCTCCCAGATGAATGGAAGCAAGTGGTATTTCTCACCTTCATCATTTCCTTCCTTGTCCTTGTCTTTTTTTTTTTTAATAAAAAAAAAAACAACCAAACACACTGATGTAAAACGTGGGATACATTGTGCTGGAGGAAGAACAGCACTTCATGGTCCTTATCCTCAGATATCCCTGGCCTGGTGAGTCACAATGAGTTTCTGATTGAAAGGATACTCCCTAAGTTCTCAGCAAATGAACACCTCTTTCTGGTTTTGAAATCTTTGTGTACCTCCCACCCTCCACCTTGGGTAAGTTTGTTATGGTTTAATTAACAGCTCCGATCAGAGTGCAATAATCCCTTGGTAACGCAAATATCTGTTATTTCTTGGACTGTTTTTCCAACCTACTTCTTCTAGATGTGTCTGGCCATTACTGTGAGTTTTCAGGCATCACATGTTAGGACCCTGTGACTTCGTTCTGGTTTTATCTTGGCATTCTAGACTCTCCAAAGCTCAGAACAGGAACACACATCTAGTTCAGCTTGTTCCCTTTACCGAAGAGAAAACTGAGATCCAAAGACATTAAGTGGCCCAAGAGCCAGAACACAGCTCCCAATTCCTGAACAATAAATAAAAGAAACACGGGATTAACAAAGTTCAATTTGGGGTCGATAGAGGGGGTGGCGGAGAAAGAAAAGATCCAAGAACCCTTCATCTGCCTTGAGTGAATCACTGCGTAGGGGGCAGCACCACACCGCTGTAAATAGCAGGCGGGCTGGGATCTGGGAATGATGATCCCAGTCTCCCCCTCTCTGCTCCTCACCCCTCTGGCCGATCTGAAACCCAGTGAGTGGAAAACAAATCTGCTTCCCAGAGTGGTAAGTGTAAATGCAAAGCCAGTTTTCAGTATCTCCTGGGAATGCAGGGGAGGCGAAAACAGGTAAAACCAACTTAAATCACAGTGGATTGGGGGGTCACGCACATTACATACAGAAGCATGCACACGTGTGTACGCACAGCCCTCCTTTCCCATTAAGAGACTGACTGACTCCCTTCTGTAAAGCATGGGGCCAACAGCCTTAGGTTTCCAGAGACAAATCACAAAGCAGACTGCCCACTGGCTTTTTAGAGAGCTAACTCGTATTAAACAGGATTCTCAGGAACTCTACCAAGAGCCTTAAGATGCTCATTACTGTGAATTAATTCCTGGAACAAGGGACCACATAGTTATCATACCACAAGACCTGTTCTTTCTTCCCGGTTCTCTCTCTACATATACATCAACAGGAATTTGGGAAAGTCATCCTCTAATGGAAATAAAACAAGATCAATATTACTAGCAATAGTGACTTGGCCAGAAAGTCTGGAAACATTTAAAAATTAGAAAGTGCAGCTCTTATATATCAGTGATGAATCACTGAATTCTACTCCTGAAATCAATATTGCACTGTAGGTTAACTAAAATTTAAATTAAAATGAAAAATAAATAGAAATTAGAAAGTGCCCATCTAATCGTTTTACTTAATTTCAAATGTGACTTCTCTGATTCTAGATTTTAGTCCATTTTCTTAAAAATGCTATTTACGCTCCCCTATGAGAAAGACGTGTAGATTCCTTATAGTAGATTTGATAGCATTAATGGCCCCAATTAATGACCTCCCTTTATCCAAGTCCTTTGTCTCTAATTTTGTCATCCCCTCCCACCCTAGGCTCACCTCTATGATTACCTTTGGCCATTAGAATGTCAGTAGACTTGATGTAAATGAAGGCTTGAAAAACGTTTGTGCACCATACCTATTAGAATTTCCAAAATCCAGAACGCTGACAATACCAAATACTGGTGAGGATGTGGAGCAACAAGAACTCTCATTCATTGCTGGTGGGAATGCAAAACAGTAGAGCTATTTTGAAAGACAATTGACAGTTTCTTACAAAAGGAAACATGACTCTCTCCATATGATCGGGCAGTGATGTTCCTTGATATTTGCCAAAAAGAGCTGAAGACTTAATTCCATACAAAAACCTGTACACAGAGTTTTTAGCAGCTTTATTCATAATTTGGACAAAACTTGGAAGTAACCAACGTGTTCTTTAGTAGGTGAACAGATAAATGAACTGGGATGTCCAGACCCTGGAATGTTATTCAATGGGAAAAAGAAATGAGCTATCAGGCTATGAGAAGATCTAGAGGAAACTTAAATACATATTGCTGAGTGAGAGAAGCCAGTCTGTAAAGGTTACATATTGTTTGATTCCAATTATACAGCATTCTGGGAAAGGCAAACCTATGGAGACAGTAGAAAGATCAGTGGTCGCCAGGGGTTGGGGGTGGGGAGGTTTGAATGGGTAGAGCACCGAGGATTTCTAAGGCAGTGAAACTACTCTGTGTGATACTTCAGTGGTAGATAGCTATCATTATACATCTGTCCCAAACCATAAAACATACAGCACCAATTCCTAATGTCAACTGTGGTGTTTGGCTGATAATGATGTGTCAAAGTAGATTCACCAGTTGTAACAAGGGTACCACTCTGGTGGAGGATGTTGATAAGTGGGGGAGGCTATGCCTGTGGGGGGGGGCAGGGAAGATACGGGAAATCTCCGTACCTTCCCTTCAATTCTTTTGTGAATCTAAAACTATTCTGAAGAAATTTAACTTTTTTTAAAAGTTTGTGCATTTTTGCTTTTTGTTCTTGGAATTCTGCCAAGGAGGACAAGCCCACTAAAGGATGAAAGCCTGGGGGGCTCAGTCAGTTAGGCGTCTGACTCAATGATTTCCACTCATGTCGTGATTTCTGGGTTGTGAGATGGAGCCCCGAGTTGGGTTCCACGCTCAGAAGGGAGTCTGCTTGAGATTCTCTCTCCTTCTGCCCCTCCTCCCATTATCTCTCTCTCTCTCATATTAATAAATAAATCTTTAAAAAAAAAAAAAGGAGGAAAGACCTTGTGCTACAGAGATAAGTCACCGCAGCTGAGGCCATTCTTGACCAGCAAGCCCTCAGGAGACTGCAAAGGCACAAGCAAGTCCAAATGAGATTGGCCAGGCTTGGTCCACATCCACAGAACCACCCCCGCCCCCAACTCAGAGATTTGTGAGAAATAATGCACGGTGGCTGTTTTAAGCCATTGCTTCAGTCCTCCATTGCCTAATAACAAACCACCCCAAAACTAATCACCACCAACAACTACCATTTTCTCTTGCCATGATTTCTCTATGCCATGGGCATAGGCTAGTGTCACTCCCTTGGCTGCAGTCAGCTAGCTGCTGGCTGCTGGGCTGGACAGGAAGGTCCGAGAAGGCTTCCCTCACACATCGGGCACTTCTAGCTGCCTCCACATGTGGTCCTTTCAGCCGGTGGGGGCTCAGACTTCTTACACAGTGGCTGGCTTCCCAGATGGAGGACTGAGCTTGGAAGTTCTAGAATGCTACTTCTTTTTTTTTTATTAACATATAAGGTATTATTTGTTTCAGGGATACAGGTCTGTGATTCATCAGTCTTACACAATTCACAGAGCTCACCATAGCACATACCCTCCCCAATGTCCATCCCTCAGCCACCCCATCCCTCCCACCCCCCTCCACTCCAGCAACCCTGTTTGTTTCCTGAGATTAAGAGTCTCTTATGGTTTGTCTCCCTCTCTGGTTTCGTCTTGTTTCATTTTTCCCTCCCTTCCCCTATGATACTCTGTCTTGTTTCTCAAATTCCTCATATCAGTGAGATCATATGATACTTGTCTTTCTCTGATTGACTGATTTTGCTTAGCATAATACCCTCTAGTTCCATCCATGTTGTTGCAAATGGCAAGGTTTCATTTTTGATGGCTGCATAATATTCCATTCTCTCTCTCTCTTTCTCTCTCTCTCATCTTCTTTATCCATTCTTTATCTATTCATCTGTTGATGGACATCTAGGCTCTTTCCATAGTTTGGCTATTATGGACATTGCTGCTATAAACATCAGGGTGCACATGCCCCTTTGGATCACTACATTTGTATCTTTGGGGTAAATACCCAGTAGTGCAATTGCTGGGTCATAGGGTAGCTCTATTTTCAACTTTCTGAGGAACCTCCATGCTGTTTTCCAGAGTGGCTGCACCAGCTTGCATTCCCACCAACAGTGTAGGAGGGTTCCCCTTTCTCTGCATCCCCACCAACATCTGTCGTTTCCTGACTTGTTAATTTTAGCCATTCTGACTGGTGTGAGGTGGTATCTCATTGAGGTTTTGATTTGTATGTTGAGCACTTTTTCATGTGTCTCTTGGCCATTTGGATGTCTTCTTTGCAGAAATGTCTGTTCATGTCTTCTGCCCATTTCTTGATTGGGTTGTTCCCTGGGTGTTGAGTTTGATAAGTTCTTTATAGATTTTGGATACTAGCCCTTCATCTGATATGTCATTTGCAAATATCTTCTCCCATTTGGTTGGTTGTCTTTTGGTTTTGTTGACTGTTTCCTTTGCTGTGCAAAAGCTTTTTATCTTGATGAAGTCCCAATAGTTCATTTTGCCCTTGCTAGAATGCTACTTCTGCTTCATTCTCTTGATTAAAGCAGTCACAGGACCCACCCAATTCAAGCGGAGGGGAAATACCTCTCCCTTTTGATTTGAGGGGCAGTATGGATGTACAGGAATAAAAGGGCCTGATAGCAGCCATTTTGGTTGAGACTATCCTGCCTGCTAAGTTTTAGGGGGGTTGTTATACTGCATCTGATACATTCTTCTAAGCTATGGGACTTTGGGCTAGTTACAAATCATTTCTGGACCTT